GTCTCGAACCCGCGGGCTCAGGCAATCCACTCACCTCAGCCTCCCAAAGGCGCAGGATTACAGGCTGAGCCACTGAGCCCAGCGGTGATAACAGCTTTTTTACTTTGGTAACACTCTGTATTGGCAAAGGTATAAGGAAACAGGCACCCTTACATCTTACATATTGCTACTGGAAGTATAAATTGGTACAATTCACATGGTGAGGATTTTGGCAATACATATCACAATTATGAAGGCAAACAGCCTAGTATCAGCAAATCCATTCAAGGACTAGATCCTGTGGGTAGACTCATACTTGGACAAAGTGATGTATGTATAAGTTACTTGCTGAAATAGCCAGAGACCGGAAAAAACTTAATGTTCATCAGTAGGGGACTACTGAGCTAAATTATGACCCATTCACACAGTAGGATACTATACAGTTGTAAAAACCATGAGAATGATCTCTAAGATTTACTGCTAAGTGGAAAACCCAGGGGGCAGAACAGACTATGTACTGGGCAACTCTATGTGTGAAGGAAAAATGGAAAAAAAGATAAAACACATACAAGTTGTTTATTTAGTTATATAGAATGTCTCTGGAAGGAGCTAGGTATGGTGGCTCATGCCTGCAATCCTAGCACTTTGGGAGGCTGAGTCAGGGGGATCACTTGAGGCCAAGAGTTCAAGGCCAACCTGGGCAACATAGCGAGACCCTGTCTCTACAAATAACTTTTAAAAATTTACATCTGGGAGGACACTCAGAAAACTGACCAGGTGTGGCCTCTGGGTGGCTGAGGAACCAGAATGAAAGGGAACATTTCACTGTTTACTTATTTGTGTTTGGAATGTTTAATAATATGAATTTATTTATTAGTTGGTAGAATGGATACATTTTGAAACAAACAAAACCCAACACAACCAACAAACAAAACACAAAATGAATGCAGAGGGGAAAACCTTCCCTGACTCCCTCATAGCTCCCCAGAGTCCTGCTGCTACACTCTTCCTTTCCCTGGAGATATAGGAGGACAGGATGAGGGGGATCCCTGGGGAAACCAGCCCCAATTCCTTAAAGCCTGGACGAGCTCTTACATGGCCTGTGCTACACCACGAGGACAGAGAGTCTGGCCTGTGCGTGGGCCTTGCAGACCTAACCCATCCCTCAGCAGTAGATGGGACTGGACAAAGCCCTATATGCCCTTGAACTGACTCAGTCCCAACACCAAGAATCAGGTTCTCACTGGGGATCAGATCAGCAGGGACATGACCAAGACAGTCATGCCCCAGGACTCCAGAATAAGACTTCGTCCGGCACTTGAGTTTGGAAAGTAGTTGGTAAAAGGAAGCCCTTCTTTATACCAGGGCAGACACGCCATGGCCGTGATCACCAAGCTTTGCTGTATACCAGCATCCCCTGGGGGCTTTAAAAGTCCCGTGCCCAGGCCAGGTTCCAGTCCAGTGAACTCAGAACTTCAGGGTTGGCGGGGCCCAGGCCTTAGTGTGTTCCCAAGTTTCTCAGGTGATTGCAAGGTAAAGCTGCTTTTAAGAACCATTGGTGACTGGACATGGTAGCTCATGTCTGTCATCCCAGCACTTTGCCAACCCCGAGGTGGAAGAATTACTTGAGTCCAGAAGTTTGAGACCAGTCTGGGTAACATATTGAGACCCCATCTCTATAACAAATTAAAAAATTAGCCAGGCATGATGGTACATGCCCAAAATCCAGCTACTTGGACAGCTGAAGTAGGGCCCAGGAGTTTGAAGTTACAGTGAGCTATGATCACACCACTGCACTCCAGCCTGGGTGACAAAGCAAAACCCTGTCTCTAAAAAATAAATCGATTTTAAAAAACAACTGAGACTCTTGAACTTCACTTCCTGATGATATGGTACAGGCAAATCCATCCCTCAGAAACCAGGCAACTTTTATTCCTGAACACCAGGTGCCTTCTTCAACGTGTTTCAACAGTGTGGAAGGCCAAGCATATGTGTGGCAGACTCCAAACCCAGCCACATGACAGCACACAGTTAGGCTCTTGGACCAGATTGTTAAGGAGGGTGGCAGCAGGCAGCAACAGGGGCAGGTGGACTCACCACTTCTCACAAGCACGTCTGGGGACCAGAGAGCAGGTATGACAAGCTGAAGGGAATGCTAAAAGGGGTCAGTTAGGAAGGAGGAGCCCATAGTCAGGGGGTAAAGATATCTGGGAGCTTCTGCAGAAGGAGGCCTAAGGGATGTGGCTTTGCTGAAAACGTAAACTAAGGAAAGAGGAAGATGAGAACAAAGCCACTATCATCACCTGAGTACCAGAAAGCAGAAGGGAGGGGGAGAGAAAGTCCAAGAGAGACTGAAGAACCAAGGGAAAAGCTCGGAGGCAAGTTAGATATTGGCGGATGTGACTCCCAGGGTAAAAGTGTAGATAAGCAAAGCTTAGGTATCAGGGTGGCATGCAAAGAACTGTCTGCATTAGTTCTGTGGGAGAGGTCATAAGAGAGTCAAACAACATCATCCTACAGAACATAAGAATATGCACCCACCCAGAAACCACTAAGGATGGCACTGGGATGGGGGTGGACATTTGGGTCGTAAAAGCCAGAGGTAAGTAGCAGCCACGTAAGCAGTTGAGGAAACAGCCATGACCAGTCATAAGAGGAAGAAATAAGGCTGAGTGCAGTGGCTCATGCCTATAATCCTAGCACTTTGGGAGGCCAAGGTGAGAGGATTGCCTGAGCTCACGAGTTCGAGACCAGCCTGGGCAACTTGGTGAGATCTCATCTCTACCATAAATAAAAAAATTAGCAGGGTGTGGTGACATATGCCTGTAATTCCAGCTACCTGGAAGGTTGAGGTGGCAGGATCGAGGCTGCAGTGGCCATGAGTGTACCACTGCGCTCCAGCCTGGGTGACAGAGTGAGACTCCAACTCAAAAAAAAAGAGGAAGAAATATATCCAATGTTGAAATACCTACCTCCACCAATACGGCATACCCCGGGGCCAGCTCAAATGCTGAGGGCAGGATTCCAAAGGGAGGTTGCTCAACAAAGCCAATGGTGGCAACGGCCTTAAGAAAAGCAGAAGATGACAAATGGTGGGGAAGACATTGTCAAATCCAGTGCTCAGATTCCAGACTTCTCTCCTCCAACATTCATCACCCAGTCCCACATTCATGAAGAAACTGAGGCTCGTTCACTCAGCAAGTATTTACTCAGCCATCACCAGACACCAGATAAGGTTCTGAAGGTTAAAGATAGAGCTGACTGCTGGCAGGAGGCACAAGGAACATCATCGCCAAGTGCTCAGGACACAAAGCCGGAAGCATGTGAGAAGGCCTCACCCAGGAGGTGAGCTGGGAAGACCCTCCCTAGGCTCCCAGAGTACATTGTCCTTTCCTACTACAGCAGCCTGGTCGCGGTGTCACTCTTTGAATCTGCCTCGTTCCTAACCCACCCCTGAATGGCTGCAAGTTCCTGAGTCATGTGGCAGCTGGCATCTTGTTAGCAGAGCATCAGCCCCGGTGCCTACACAGGAAGCCACTTAGCATACCAAGGACATCAACCCATGCCCACAAGACTTTGGCGGATAGCAGGAATGAGCGAAATGCCTTTCTTGGAACACGTGGTCCACTGGATCTATCATTGTTTTCTGGATATACAGGAACAGAAACATATCTCTACTATAAGGAAAGTAATGGTGTGAGCACGATGATGGATAGCGTCAGTGCTGGGAGGCCCTAGGGAGTGGCTGGGCTGGGTGAGCAGGGCAGAGTGTACCAGCCCTGTCCCCAGCCCTGGCCAGCAGGGTCACAGTGAATTCTGGCCCAGGGCTGCACATCTTCCTATTTTTCAAAGAGATGGGAAATTGAGAAGAATTGTATGTAAAATCTCCCTATTTATTTATTTATATTTATTTATTTTTGAGTTGGGGTCTCACTCTATTGCCCAGGCTGGAGTGCAATGGTACTATCACAGCTCAGTGCAGCTTCTATCTCCTGGGCTCAGGCAATCCTTCCTCTTCAGTCTCCCAACTAGCTGGGATTACAGGCTCACGTCACCACACCAGGCTATTTTTTCAATTTTTTGTGGAGACAAAGTCTCAGTATGTTCTCTAGGCTTGTCTCCCTGCCACCTCGGCCTCCCCAAGTGCAGGATTACCAAAGCTCTGAGCTACCGTGCCAAGCTTCTCTCTATTTTTAAATGTTGGCTCAAAAATGTTTTTAAGCGTGGTACCAAATAAATGCCAGCAGAATTCAGCCAAAAAGCTGGCAATTTGTGACCTCTGATATATTCAGATGCTTGCTACAATAAAGGATTAAACAAGTAAATGTGGTAACATGTGAGCCAGGCCTTGAAGGATAAGAGAGGTAATACAACTTGCCCGGCATCGAGCAGATATTGGTGACATAATCAGAATCACAGCACTAGTCCCCGCTCATTCATTCTCATCTGGGTTGTGGCAGCTGCACAGAGAGGTTTCCAATCACCCCTCGCAAGCATGCCAGGGGTGCTTCCTTTGATGGATTTGCTCTTTCTTCAGTTAGCAATCTCTGATCACTCACCTTGAAACTCGGTGGTGGCCAGCTCTTTTTGGGCATGATGCAGAACTGGCCAGTGCTGAAGCCCACGTTCTTGCAGATGAATCCGGTCATCTTCACTCCCCCAATGAGGCAGTAACCACAGTCCAACACGGGTGATACTGTAGCCACAGGAGAAGATATGCAAGAGAAACCACGGATCACTCTGAACAAGCCCTGCCATCATGGTTCTCTTGAGGTTCAGCCAGAGCTCAGGGCAGTTGTGGGAGAGCCCAAGGGTCCCAGCTCAGCACCCAGAGCAGAAGAGACAAGTGAGGACAATGCCCTGACCTCTGTACCCATTTGGGCTCTGTCTGGGCTACTGCTGGGCCACATGGCAGTGGTGCCATGGGACTCTATCCACTCCTGGCTAGAGCAGCAGGAGTCAGTGCCCACTATAGACACATGCCTGTGCTAGGGCCACCCAGCACAGCCTTTGGGGTTGTAGCAGAGGTGAGGGGATCAGAGTCCCAACTTCTAGCCTGTGCCCAGCTGGAGAGGCTGGTAACTAAGGCAGCCCAGCTGAAGTCAGCTTTTCTAAGGGAGCCCAGTCCCCAAAGCCACAGCACAGCGTCCGGGAGGGCTCTCAGGAGCCCAGGCACATTCTTGCATGCTGTGTTTACATCCTCGCATGCTATAGTACAGGCCCACTCAGAGGTGTGAGCAAGCCAGCAAAACCTACGTTGGGGTCCTCTCCTGCTGGCCTCTTCCCCTGCTGTGGATCAGTCTCTGCTGGGAAAACCCAAAAGCAAGCCATGACACTGTGGAAGATGGTGTGGAATTTTGCTAACAGTTCCCACCACAGGATCCACAGCCCCTATTCAAGAGAACCAAGCTGCATGCTGCCACTAAGGCGGCCTGAGAGGCAGGCAGTCCTAATGGGGACCCTCCAACCCTAACTGGACCTGCAAGAAGGCATGGCGCACACTCACGTGTCAGCACCGGGGGTGGCCTCCGGGCCTGCAGGGGGATCAGGAGCGTGCGGGCTGACTGGGTCTCAACCAAAATAAAATCATCAAAATTCCCAAGGCAGTCAGGAAAAAACTGGACAACATACTGGCAGGTCATTCCAGGTGCCACCATTCCACCTTTTCCTGGAAACATCCCTGTGTGTGACAAAAGTGACAAATGAGAATCCAGGGATCAGTCAGCTACCAGGGCTTGGGTCCAGCTGCTACAGACCCCACAGCTGGGGCTGGCTCTGTGATAAATGCCTCTGAGCTGAGTCCATGCTGAAGCAGAACCACCAGGGGAGCAGGCTGCTAGGGCAAGGACTCCAGGGGCATGGTACCATCCATCTGGAATGGGTAGGTGGGGCCATGTCTGGCCCTATGCCTTATAATTGGTTTTGTGGGCAGCAGAGAGACCTTTGAGGTTTCTGAGCAGGGTGACATGATCAGGGTTGTTTTGAGATAAATGCTGTGACACTGAAGCAAGAAGGCAGGCTGGGAGGCTGCAGAGGAGACTTACGCAAGGAATGGGGAGCACCTGACTAAGGGCAGTGGCCGTGCAAGGGGTGGGGACATGGTAGAACTGGTGTCTGGATGAGGGGACCAGGAGAAAGAAGCTGTCAAGGCATTGAGAACTCACTACCAGCTGAGTGTGAGGGGCCCTAGGGAGTGCTGAGGGCCTGGGCTCAGGGACATGGGTCGGGAGCCAGCTGAAGGCCAAGTGGGCCAGTAACTGGCAACAAGCCCAGCAAACAAAATAAAGGCAGTCTACACTGCTACTACTACTACTCTGCTGAACTCACCCAATCCTAGAGCAAAGTATGGCGTGGAAGGTGGGAGGACCCGCAGGTAGCGGCTGGTGGTGGTGATATTCTGCAGCGCGATGACCATCTGTTCAGGGGCAAAGGAGATCTCTCAGACAATAACATTTATGAACAAAATTGTGAGCTGTCTGGTTGATACTTTAAGCAATATGGGAAGGGCGTGGGGTACAGATGAAATAAGCATAAGCTTGGCCGCAAGTTAGTGCTGGAACTGGCTGTTGGGTACACACAGATTCATTATGACATCCTAGCTACTTTTGTTTCAGAAAGCTTCCATAGTAAAAATAAACTACAAGGTAAAGATGGTGGCGGAAATAGATCTATTCTTTGTTTAACATATTTACTGCTATTCATTAAGCATCTGTTCTGTGTCTCCTCAGCCTCACAACAACCAAGAAAGGTGGGAACTACCTCTCTCACAGCTGAAGAAACGGAAGTTTAAAGAGGTGGCTCAGCAGGTGAGCAGTAGCGCTGCGACTGGAGCCCAGGTTGTTTGCTGCAAGGTTCTGCTCGCCCTGCTTCTTACTTACTCTTCCTCCCCACACAACCCTTGGAGTCATTCTTCCGCGGGCCCAGTGAGAGGGTGCTATGGGCACCTGAATGCCAGGACTGTCACTGGGCCTCTCTCCATTATGCAACCCATCCTGCTCCAGACGGGAGACCCCCCTAAGGGCAAAGCGGGGGCTGACCCTTCAACAGCACCCAGCACAGTACCTAGCACAGAGAAGAACTCATCACATGCACACATCTTTTGCTAATATTTTGTGAAAATGTATAAATTATAGTATGACAAAACATTACCCTGCTTAAGAAATGAAACATTACAAATACAGTTGAAGTTCTCCACCAGCCCCTAACAAGATGCAAAGCTGCATAAACGTGAAGTGTGTCTTCCTATTTTTATTCACAGGTTTGTATTCCTACATCAGCATTTAACTCCATTTTTGGCCAGCACAATACATTGCACCAATGCATCTGTGAACCAGGCCCAAGTTAGGAGAGACCTATACTAAGATTTTATTTTTCATTTCCCCGTTATTAATGATGATGAGCATCTTTTCACATGTTTGCTTGCCATTTAGGTTTTCTCTTCTGTGAGTTGTCTGTTCACATTGTTTTACCATTACCATTGTTTTACCATTTACATTTGTCATTGTGTAGTTTGTCTTTTTCTTATTGATTTTTAGAAGTTCACATATTATGGATACTAATTCTTTATAACGTATATGTTATAAACATCTCTAAGTTTATACACTTGTATTGTCTTTTGATCTACAGTTTCCAAAACCTTAACAGAAAATTAATCAACCTTTTATGCCTTGTGCATCTGTTTCAAGAAATCTTTCCATACCTCCTATATTTTCTTCTAAAAATGTTGTTTTTTTTAATCTTGAAAGTTTTACTGAAAAGTATTTTGTTTGGGATTATGGAGTGAGGTAGGGATTAAATTATATTTCACATGAAAGGATACTAAACTTGGTTTTGTGTCTTCAGTTCCGCACATGTGCACAGAGCAGCAAGAGCATATGCTGGCCCCTGGGTTGTGGAGCAAGCTGTGGCCACTGCTGTCATTGCAGAGTGAGGGCTCCTGGCAACAGCTGCTCCTCATGTCAGCTGAGGCCTGCCTTGTGAGAGCCTTCCTCCTGCCACACAACACAAACCTCCAACCAATGAAAGGCAGCAGCCGAGGCTGAGGCAGGAGGATCAACTGAACTCGGGAGTCCAGAGACCTGCCTGGGCAACACAGCAAGACCTTATCTTTACAAAAAAAAGTCAAAAAAATTAGCCAGGTGTGGTGGCACACGCCTATAGTCCCAGGTATTTGCGAGGCTGAGGCCAGAAGATCACCTGAGCCCAGGAGGTTGAGGCTGCAGTGAGCCATGACTGTCCCACTGCACTCTAGTGTGGGCAACAGAGTCAAACTCCGAAGAAAGAAAGAAAAGAAAGAAAAAAAGAAAGAAAGGGGGGAAAAAATAGCAGGAGCCAGCAGTTTACAGGGCTTCTTAGGGAATGTCCCCAAGATGAAACAACCAACTGCACTTAATGGCAGACAGCTCGAAAATACATTCTCATATTGGCTCTTCCTCTTCCTAGCTCCTTTCCCTCCCTCATTACTGGAACTGAAATGATAAACTCACCCCCTCACGGTTTGCTTTATGTAAGCTATGGCAGTTGGTATCCAAAGAGCCCTGAACCTGCAGACCCTTAGGATGTGACTCTGGAACTGGCTTACTCACCAGCATGATGGCAATGAGAACCCTAGCTGGTGGGAGGCAGGATGTGAGGATAGTGGTGTGGTGTGGCACAATTACTCAGGTGAAAACTAGTGGCTAACTAATAAAAACTCACGCAGTGAAACGGGGGAGGTGTGGGGGTGGCAAGGTCTGGGGCAGTGATAATTATGAGACCATGGTGTAGGCTGGTTTTCCTTAGCAGCACTGAAAGCCTGGGAGGAAAAAATGACAGGCTCAGGGCAGCCAACTGCCAAGCCAAGGGCCTGCTGGGAAGACATTCCTTGCATTCCTGGGTTACACATAATTTGCTCTTGTGTGTGTGTGTGTGTGTGTGTGTGTGTGTGTGTTCCTTCCTGTTTGATATGGTTTGCTAGTTTTTACCTAGTATTTCTTCATCTCTGTTCTTAAGCAAGACTGTTATGTTTTTATTTAATGTCAAGATAATTAGGCTCATTACCTGATAATGACTTTTTCTAGTCTCTGAAACAGTTCATATAAAATAGAGATGAACTTGAATGTCTGGTAGTATACACCTGCAAAATGATCTGGGCCTGGTGTTTCTTTCTGCGGAAAGTTTTTCTTAAAGTTATTTTCATCACAGTTGGACAACCACATAGTTTAAAGAGTCAGAGAGTTCTGTGGGGCTTTGAAAACAGAAATCCTGGAAGGCTGAGCCCAGCAGGTTGAGGCTGTGGTGGCGGTGAGCATGCCACTACACTCCAGCCTGGGTAACACAGTGAGATTCCAATTAAAAAAAAAAAAAGAAAGAAAAAGAAAAAGAAAAGAGAAATCCTGCCCTATTCCCCTGACCCCCACCTGCCATTTCCCACTTCCCAAAGGCAAATGACTTTTTGCTTCTTTAGATGACTATTTGGTATTTACTTTCATGCCTCCAAATAGCATGCTACTTTTTTTTCAGTCTTAGGTATTAATTATGGAGAGATGATATGGATATTTTCTCTTTCCTCTTCCATGTCCAACTCTCCATGTGACATGCCCTTCCTATCCTCAACTTCCCAACATAGTTAGAGCATACTATTGATTAGATGAGTCATTCCTGTTTATATTAGAGTGGACGCTATTCACAACTGAGCATGCGGTAAACTATGATTTCTTTCTCTCCCTGGCATAACTTTTGTTTTTCCAGAAGTTAATAATCAACTAGTTATGCTGTTTGCTATGTACTTATCAATAATTCAATCCCGCTCCACTACTCTGCAAATCTCTTCCTGGGATGTCCAGAGGTATCAGGGATTTTTCTCAATGTCACCTCCATAAATAAACCCCTGCTGTGGCCTTCTCACCTCTTCTAATCTGGGTCAGTTTCCACTATACCTGCTGTTGAGCTATCATACAGAATAACATCCACAAGTTCTTTGGCATTCCTCCCATTAAGAGAAGAAGTCTATGTATCTTCCCCTTGAATCTGAGCCAAACTTGGTGACTTAATTATCTACAGCATGCAGAGGAAATAGTGCTGTGTAACTCCCAAGGTTAGGTCATAAAAAGTGATGCAGCCTCCATCTTGTTTGCCAGGATATTCACTTAGATGCTCAGTTACTCACTCTGAGTTGTCATGTAAAAAAATCCGATTACCCTGAGGCCACCATAGTGTGAGGAAGCCCAGGTCACACAGAGAAGCTATGTGTAGGTACTCTGGTGGACAGCCTCAGCTGTTTGTATACAGCCAGCATCAACTGCCATGAGCGTGAAAAGGCCTCAGATAATTCCAAGTCCCCAACTTCCAGCCACTGACTCTATAGAACAAGCCATTTCATTGTGCCCTGTCTGACTTTCTCACTCAAAGAATCTTTAAACATGATTAAATGGTTGTTTTAAGTTGCTAAGTTTTGGAGAAATTTGCATTGTGGCAATATTAACTTCAAAATTCCTTAATTATTAACCTAGGGACATCCTTCACCTCTCTCCTGTGTTGGACCTCATGTTACCACATTCCATGCCTGCCTCTTCTGTGGTTTACTCACTTCTATTAGGGGAGCATATTCTTGAGAAACTGTGCATGGAATATGCATTTAAAAGACTGAAAATTCAAAATGCTTGTCTCTTAGCCTTCATAGTTTAACTGGGGAAATAACTGTTATGAACATCAAAGAGATGTGCAGTAGGCAACTAGGCAAAGACAAGAGGAAGGATGTCCCCTGGGTAGTCTGTGCCCCCCTCATCTACAGCCTCAGGCTCTGAGCACAGGCTTCTATAGCTGGCATCTCAAGCCCTGCAGATAAATATCACCACCTGTCCTTGAGCAGCTCTTCCTTTGTCCTGTTCTACTCCTCAAATGAAATGATTTTAACTCCCTTCCTCTGAGATTTGGTCAGCTTCTCCAAGAAAACATGATAGCCAGACACAGAAGTACAAAAGACACTTCATTACTGTCAAGTTCAAGTAAGCAAAATGCTTCCTCTGACGTTCAGCATGCAGAGCTGCCATATTGATCTGCATTTGCCATGAGTGGTTGAGAAGTTCCTAAAGGATTATGGATGTGCAAGTTGCTCTTTAAACTGTAGGGTACAATCCACAAGTGTGTGAAGGGATTGTTATCATTAGGCCTATTTTCTTTGCACGTTGTGAGAGGAGCTGAAAACAACTAAGGTGGTCTTGACCTGATTTCCCAGGATGGTGGAGGCTAGCATTAAGAAAAGAGCTGGGAGAAAGGAGTGAGGAAAGTCTCTACATGGTGTTCTTGCAGGAATTACTGATATATTCCTAAGGTGCAGAGGACAGTAAGGAGAGAGGGTCTAAACATATACACACATTTGCTTATGGTTCCGAAAAGAAGCAATGGAAGAACCTAAACTGATAGAAGTAGATACCTATAGAGGTAAGGAGAGTGCAAGGAAGAGGTGGGAAGAGAAGTTAGAGAGAGAGGTTTTTTTTTTGCTTGTTTGTTCGTTTGTTTGTTTGTTTTTGACTTGGAGTCTCACTCTGTTGCCCAGGCTGGAGTGCAGTGGCATGCTCAAGGCCACCGCAGCCTCGACCTGCTGGGTTCAGGCAATCCTTCCACCTCAGCCTTCCAAGTTGCTAGGACTACAGGCATGCGCCACTACGCCTAGCTACTTTTTTTGATTTATTGTAGAGATAAGGTCTCCCCAAGTTGCCCGGGCTGGCCTCAAACCCATGGGCTCAGGCAATCCTCTCACCTCAGTTTCCCAAAGTACTGGGATTATAGGCATGAGCCACTGTGCCTGGCCGAAAGTTTTTTTAACACCACCACCACCACCAACAACAACAACAACAAAATAACAGCTAATAAATGCAGATGGAATAACAGAATTAGAAATCACCATTTTGTAACCCCCAATTTAAGAAAAAAAATGAATCTTTGTAAAGAATGATTCAGGCTTATAACACCTGACACCGTTCTTCACTGATAATGGGAAACCCAGATATCATGCTTCCTTCTTAAAGCACACAATTAGAAATACACAGGACCACCAAAGAAGAATTCTTACCAACGAGAAAAAAAATGGAACCCAAATCTAATCAAACCTCTACATAACTACCTACCAGTTTATGGAAAATATGGAAGGTAAAGGAACATGCTTAATGTCACCACAATAACACAATTAGCCAAATTCAGGATGTAAGAAATTGTAGTTTCTCCAACAAATAAATGGTATTTTTAAAAAGCAGGGACTTGGGCTGTGAGCAGTGGCTCACACCTATAATCCTAGCACTTTGGAAGACTGAGATAAGAAGATTGCCTGACCCTGTGGGTTTGAGACCAGCCTGGGCAACTTGGTGAGACCTTATCTCTACAATAAATTAAAAAATTAGCCAGGCATGATGGTACATGCCTGTAGTTCCAGCTACTTGGAAGGCTGAGACGGAAGGATTGCGATCACCTCAGCCCAGCAGGTTGAGACTACGGTGGCCATGAGCATGCCACTGCACCCCAGCCTGGTTGACAGAGTGAGACTCCAACTCAAAAAAAAAAAAAAAAAGCAGGGGAAGAAAAAAAAATACCGGGGAAGAAAGTAATATCAGCTAAAGGAGAATTAAGAGATATTTTAACCAAATGCAATATTTAGATTCTGATTCAAAGAAACCAACTATAAATTGACTTTTTTTTTTTTTAAACAAATGAGGAAGATCAGACATGATGGGTATGAGCTAATATTAAGGATCATTGTTAATATTGCTGGGGATGAGAATGAGATTATGGTTACTTTTTAAAAGCCCTTCTAAATCTTTGGAGATGCTTATTGAAGTGTTAACTGAAGAATGACGCAATGTCTGGGCTTTTCCTGAGAAGACTCCAGTGTGCGCATGCGCACACAGACACATGCAAGAAGGAGCTGTAGGAGGCACAGATGAAACCAGACTGGCAAAATGTAGCTAACTGTTGAAGTCACGTGATGGGCACATGAGGGGGTGTTATAGTATTTTCCCTAGCTTTGTGCATGACTTAAAAAGTCTATAGTGAAGGCTTCTAAAAAATAAGAAAGCAGATGGGGTGGGATCTGTAATGAAACAAGAGTTCTACCTCATAAACAGGTCCAATTTCATAATTTGTAAAAAATCCGATCGGCGGTTTAGCCAGAAACACTGGAGTATCAGCACCACTGAGGCAGGAAAAAACGAAAGGGAAGAAAGGCTGTTAGTTTTATCTACATGATGAAATTCTAGGCAGTGACTGGTTAATGTAAAAATAAATACATCCAGGCCATCAATGTTACTCACAAAATGTCACTTGTTAAGTTTTTTGATTGCTGTTGTTAAAGTAGGTTATAAAACAATTTTAGTGTAAGATCCAATCTTTGTGAAGATATATATAGCTAAGTATTTAATTCTCAATATTCATAGGAAAAAACTCTGAAACCTTAACCACAAACATGGGTGTTGTTTCTCTTTTCAAATATTAATCTTTTCTAATTTTTCTTTTCTTTCTTTCTTTCTTTTTTTTTTTTTTGAGTTAGAGTCTTACTCTGTTACCCAGATAGAGTGCAGTGGCATGATCATGACCACTACAGCTTCAACATGCTGGGCTCAGGCAATCCTTCCACCTCAGCTTTCCAAGTAGCTGAAACTACAGGTGCATATCACCATGCCCAGCTAATTTTTTGATTTACTATAGAAACAAACCCTCACCAATTTTCCCAGGCTGGTCTCAAATCCTTGGGCTCAGGCATTCCTTTCAGTTCCACCTCCCAAAGTGCTGAGATTACAGGTGTAAGCCACTGCGCCCAGCTCTAATTTTCTTAATAAAAATATATTATTTGTCTAATAAAGAAATATTAATAGTTCAGGTTAATTCAAATTATAAACCCATGAGGCAACTTACCCCTTCATAGGATAATTATTAAAATATAAGCAAAGGCACTCTCATAAAGAAAAGCCACAATTTGTACTAATTATTTGGAATTAATCAAATTAAATATTGTCATCAACCAAGATATATGAATCCAAAGGAAGGCGCACACGGTTATAGAGATTCCTTCCATTTGACCCAGACTGCACAGATGTAAATAACAGGCCAACACCAACACCTATTTCTCAAGATCCTGACAGACCAGAAAAGCATAAACTCAGGACCCTGGCAGATGTCCGAAGGCCACATCTGTAGGTGACCCTGAAGCCCTACTAGTGACCTCCATTACCAGACCAGACCTAGAACCTTCTAGGTTTACACTAAAGGATCAGATTTTCTGAGAGTACGAGTCAGAGAAAGACGTACCTCTGTTCTGGCTCCACACTCTGGAATTCTCCTGTCAGTGCTGGCTTCTTCGGAGGAAAAATGAGAGATTTGCCTCCATATGGAGTGTTAGGAGGGAAAAACCGAGGGTTTTTGAGGAACTGGTTCCGACTCTCCATTCTGGCAAGCAGAAGTCGCTCTAGTTCTCTCTGTGGCACACGTAAGTGGTTCATCCAGTTTTTATTCTTTGGTAGACTTGCTTTCTTTGAAACACACAAAAGTAGAGAGTCAATGACAGGTAAAGGGACCATATGTGGACATCTTGGCCAGTGGAAACTCGACTCTCTACTTAGCTGTGGATTCACTGCAACGTTGTCTGCCATCTGAACTCCTCCCTCCTTACAACTTTCCTGTCCCTACTGGACACACAACTGTGCACAGCCTTTGGAACTGACCTTGACAGTTTCTCTCATCTTTTGCTTGGGCTTAGGAGCTGAGTCCCATGTCAGGCTGTCCACAGTGTGATCTAAGTCATCTTTAGACTCAGTAAGCTTCTTTCTGCACAAAACTTCAAGCTTCTTGTACGGCTCTTTCTTTGGGATGGAACGCTGCTCACAGCTAAATGTCATTTTTGAATATCCAGGGAGCAGGTGGCCTGTGGGGCCAAGGAAACAAACCGAGTTACTGTTCCAAGGTGAGGAGGTGGATGTTTTGAAGATAAAGAGTCATCAAAGCCACAGCTAGTTTGATATTTTCTCTTAAAATTTCATATGCACCACACCAGGTAGAATTGCTTTCGGCACATGAATTACTCCTGGAACTTATTTTATGTACCCAAGACATAGGACTAGAGCAGTAAAATATTTCTCAGTTCTCCAACACAGTCAAAGAAAAAGAGTAGACTCTTATCATACACATGTATGTACACATACCCCATATATGAGCATGCTTTTTGAAAAGCTTCCACAAGCTGGGCACAGTGGCTTACACCTGTAATCCCAGCACTTAGAGAGGCAGAGGTGAGAAGATTGTTTGAGTCCAGGGGTTCGATACCAGCCTGGGCAACTTGGCAAGACCTCGTCTCTACAATAGGTTTTTTTAAAAAAAATAGCCAGTTGTGGTGGCACATGTCTATAGTCTCAGCTACTTGGGAGGCTGAGCCAGAAGGAGCCCCTGAGTCCAACAGGTCAAGACTGCAGTGGCCATGAGTGTGCCACTGTACTCCAGCCTGGGTGACAGAGTGAGACTGCAACTCAAAAATTCAAAAAAAAATTCACACAAGGACTCAAAGTGTGTATTAGCTTTTTACACCCATAAGATCATCCTCCAAAGGTTAAGTGAGGATATTCATAGCTAGCAAGAATGCAGTGAAACTGGTACCACCACAGATGGCTTAACACAACTTAAGCCCAGGACACAGCCCACATCACAGCCTCCCACCCCACTTATCCTCAGAAGATCTTGCCTCCCACATCACAGGAAACTGGCCCGGTATCACTGAGGACTAAACCTGACTTTTTGTTCTTTTATCTGAATTCCTAACTGAGAGGCTTGAGGAATATTATCTCACATTCTAAAGTTGTTTTCCAACTTGACTCTAGCACAATATCACATAACAAATAAAGAAGGAAATCAATACTTTTTAGGCCTGCAAAACTGTCTCTTGGGGACTCCCAGATTCTAAGAATCTTGTGAGATATTTATCTATCCTCTCTGAAGTCTGCCACATATAAGACTTCATCTGTACACCAAAGAACCTGGAGTTTTCCATCCCTTATCTCAACAAAACATCTCCTCTACTGATTTCCAAAATTCCTTAGATGGAAACTACAAACTACCAGTCAAGAAATCTTTGAATCCACCTAAGACCTGCAAGCCACCACTTGGAAATGTCCCTCCTTCCTGGGTCAAACCAACAGGCCGGGTGTGGTGGCACAGTCTGTAATCCCAGCACTTTGGGAGGCTGAGGTGAGAGGATTGCCTGAGCCTGCAGGTTGGAGACCAGCCTGGGCAACTTGGTGAGACCGCGTCTCTACAATAAATCAAAAAAACTAGCCAGATGCGGTAGTTCCACTACCTTAGAAGGCCGAGGCAGAGCCCACCAGGTCAAGGCTATTGTGGCTGTGAGCGTGCCACTGCACTCCAGCCTGGGCAACAAGAGTGAGACATCAACTCAAAAAAAAAAACAAAAAATAAAAGAAAGAAAGAAAGAAAATCTCACATGTATTGGTTTATGGTTTCTTGTAACTTCTACCTTCCTAAAAGGTTTATAACCAAGCTTTAAAAAAAAAAAAAAAAGGAGAAAGATCAGACATGATGGATATTAGTTGATATTAAGAAATCATTGTTAATATCACTGGGTGTGATAACGGTATTATGGTTACTTTTTTAAAGTCTTTCTCTTTAGAGATGCTAATTGAAGTGTTAATTGAAGAATGACATGATGTCTAGGCTTTTCCTTAAAAGATTCCAGTATATGCATGCACACACAGACACACACACGAAGGTGGGCGCATGTTCTCAGGACCTCCTGAGGATGGGTATTGCCAGGTCTGGTCCTCAAGTTCAGTTCAGAATAAAGAATAAATCATCTTAAAATATTTTACAGAGTTTAGCATCTTTTATTCAATATCACACACACACACACACACACACACACACACACACACCCCGTTCCCTGCCTCCCTATCAAAGGATGAAAAGCTGCCCTTTTACTGCACAGGGAAACCCCTAGGTCATGGTTCTGACTCCATCAGGAATTTGCTCTCTTGCTTGTCTATGTCTTCAGCTCCCTCCCTCTCTGGGTTCTTCACTTACATCTCTAAACCGTTTCTCATCCCTTGGTATCAGGCAGCTGACATGGACATCATATCCCACATGAAGGAACAGGGACTTTTGTCTTGCAGATGTTGGAGAGCTAGTGAGGAAGTGGCAGGCTCAGATCTGACTCTCCCAACAGTCACCATCCAAATGAAAGAAAAGAAGCCAGGTATGGTGGCTCACGCCAGAAATCCCAGCACTTTGGGAGGCAGAGGCAAGAGGACTGCCTGAGCCGAAGGGTTTGAGACCAGCCTGGGAAACTTGGCGAGACTTCATCTCTACAATAAATCAACAAATTAGATGGACGTGGTGGCAAATCCCTGTCGTTCCAGTTACTTGGCTGAGGCAAAAGGATCGCCTGAGCCCAGGATGTTGAGGCTACACTACCTGTGAGTGTGCCACTGTACTCCAGCCTGGGCAACAGAGTGAGACCCTATCAAGAAAGAAAGGAAGGGGGGGGGAAGAGAGGGAGGGAAGAAATGAAAGAAAGAAAAGAAAGGAAGAAAGAAAGAAAAAGGCAAAAACTTAGAGCAAATGGCAGCAAAGGTGGCCAACATGGTCCTGCTACAACAGAACTTTCCTGGAATGATATCAGAGGTTCTGAGGAAGCTCGGGAATGTTACCTTTAGGTGCAGGACAAAATGGCACTGTATCACTGTAGTAATCTTCTGGGCAGATCAAATGATGCTTCTGTAGCAACTTGCTGTCTATACACCATCTGAAGACAGTATTCACTACACAGAAGGAGAGAACAAAGGTGGTTCAAGTCAGACTGACATTGAAGAACCTGGACCCAATATTTCGCCATCTTCTAACTCGAGCAAAATTCCTCCCAGAACACTGTGGGGGTGTCGAGATTTAAGACACTAACCAGCAAGTATTTATCAGCCACTTAAAAGAGGCCAATCATTGGACAGAGCTGTGTTGTGGTATTATTTGAGCTAAAATATTGTTATTTATAGAGAGGTCTACAAGAAAATAGAATTGGTCGAGGTCAGTGGCTCAGCCTGTAATCACAGCACTTTGGGAGGCCGAGGTGAGTGGATTGCCTGAGCCCACGAGTTCGAGACCAGCCAGGCAACTTGGCCAGACCTCGTCTCTACAATAAATCAAAAATTAGTCGGCCATGGTAGCATGCGCCTGTAGTTCCAGCTACTTGGAAGACTGAGGCAGAAGGATCGCCTGAGCCCAGCAGGTAGATGTGGGGGTGGGTGTGAGCATGCCACTGCACTCCAGCCTGGGCAATGGAGTGAGACTCCAATTCAAAAGAAAGAAAGAAAATAGAATTAAGAGAAGTATGGTAGATTGAATAAGTGACCCCAATGCTTCACCTTCTCTATATCCAGGTCCTTTCCCATGTGACTTTGCAGTCTCTGCTACTGGAGACACAGTGCACTTCCCTTGACTTTGGCCATGGGATGGTCATGACCAATGAGATGTTGGCAAAAGTTTGAAATGTGCTTGCATAGCTGAGCTTTCTCCTCTTGTGCCTTTATTTTCCTTGTGACAAGAGCTTCCCTCCCCCCTCGTCTTGGACCCCAGCATGAATCCAAATGAAGCAGATCTGAGTCCAACCTATAGCAAGGAGCCCCGTCCAACAGGGACCATGGCTTGAAATCAGTCCAGCCAGCCAAGCCCAGCTAGATCAGTTAAGCCTCCACTAACCCACACACACAGGAGACAGAAAATCTCATTTAACAAATTAGGAAGTTGGTCATGAATGTCCATGGATGATGAGCCCAGAAACAGTAGTAAAGATGCATTATTTATATAACATATAAATAACATTATTTATAGGTATCCAGAAAACTAGAAAAGGCAACCTTTGGCAAGTGGACTGAGGTTGGAAGAGGTGAGGTAAAGGAGGCTTTTTTAGAAATAGACTATTTTTTTAAGAGCAGTTAACAGTTTGCAACAAAATTGAGAGGAAGTTACAGAGATTTCCCATGTGCTCCCTGCCCCCACACGCACACAGGCTCCCCCATTCTCCACACCCCCCCCACCACAGTGGTGCAATAGATGAATTTACACTGACATCACTGTCACCCAAAGCCCCTGTCTTACATTAGGGTTCACTCTTGGTGTTGTACATTCTATGCGTTTGCACAAATTTATAATGACATGTATATATGAATATTTTTATATTCATTAGAAGTTATTCTAAACCATTTGTTTTTTTCAAGACCATGTATATTTATTACTTTGACAAACACTAAGGAATAAATAGGAGGAATGGGAGACTTGAAAGTTTCCAACCTTCATTGCTTGCTTCATTAACTGACATTATCTTAAGACATGGTGCCCTTCACAGCAACTTGGATGGACTTAGAGTCTATAATACTCAGTGATCTATCACAGAAACAAAGAACTTAGTACCACATGTTCTCACACATAAGCAGACCTTGAACAATTCCCATAATACTATAAGAAAGGGATTGGCAATAGTGGGAAACTGCCAGGGGAGGGAGGAGGGGCACACCTCACCAACAAGGGTAGCTGCATAATGACCATTTGTAGACCTAACCCTGAATTGTACCCCACATCTTTAAAATTAAAAAAAAATTTACAAAAAAAAGACATAGCACCTTTGAATGTCCTTCTCTTTGGGGGTCCCTATGACCAAGGGTGTAGGTAGAAGAAGTAAAGATACATGTTCTCCTCATCATATCTGTTAATTAAGGACTTTGAGGTTTGGCCTAGTTACTGTAACAGTCATGCTTCCAACAGGAAAACCGCAAATTCCCTATAAACTTCAAATAGAAAAGATTTCAATGCCGGGGATTATAGACTGAGGGAGAGAAGGCCAGGAAAGAGTCATCTGCTGTAGTTTGGGTACTTATCCCCTCAAACATAATGGTGAAATTTGATGCCCAGTGCTGGAGGTGGGGCTGTCCACTGGGACTGTCCCTCAGAAATAGATGAATGCCTTCCTTGGGGTGGGGAGGTGAGTGAGTCCTTGCTTTATTAGTTTCTGGGACAGCTGGTTGTTAAAAACAGCCTGGCACCTCCCCTCTCTCTTGCCTCCTCTCTCCAGGTGATCTCTGCACACGCTGGCTCCCCTTTCCCTTCTGTCATGAGTGGAAGCAGTTTGAGGCTTTCACCAGGTGCCCAATCTTCCAGCCAGCAGAATCGTGAACCAGATAAAAGCCTCCTTCTTTTACAAGTTACCCAGCCTCAGGTATTCCATTGTAGCAACACAAACAGACTCAGATACCACCAAGAACACCTTCAGTTGGCAGCACAGAGCAGGAGTTTCTTAATAAGTTATCTGAAAGCTGCTTCAAAACACAACCCCTCAATTATCTGCCTGCTGCTACCTCTTGAGAATAATGACCTCCCTTTACAAAACTCACCAAAGACTTCCTGTGAGCTGACCTATTTCAGAACCACAGGGGGGCAATGCTTTCTGGGAAATGTAGTCCCTGGTCTCTCCTTGGTAATGGACACCTCAGCAGGGAGTAGCAGCAATGCCAAGTTCACACAATGCAGCCCATTGCCCAAGGAATTTGGCAATGGCTTATTTGAATATCAAAAGACTTCCATATAAAGGACAAAGACTGTGTGACAAGGAGATATATCCTCTCTCTTCTGGTACTATTCTCTCCATAGTCTTCCAGCAGAGTGTGAGTGGTGAGGTGCTGTGTCTGCAGGAGCCGGGAGCAGTTGTTTATCAGATCTTTAGAAAGCCTCTCTTTGTCAGGCCCGGACATGTACTGGTGAGCTTTGGAAAACCCTGTACTGACCTTGTGACCACTTCTCTTATCTGAGGAGGGTGGGCTCCCGACTCAGACCCTATAGCTCCTGAGCATGGCTCTGCAAGGGGCTGTCTGTTCCACTCTCCAAAAGACAATGTGGAAAGTTACCAGCAAGGGACAGGAATGCAGAATTCTGAGCTTTCTCCCTCTGTCTGGAGAATTTATTCACGTTTTCCACCTTGTAACATTAGCCAGCAGAGAAAGGCTGCTTCTGCACCTCAAATGAGAGAAGCTTTAGTGGAATATCCTCGTTGCCAGTTGTCTAAGTTTAAAAATAGCCACCTCAACCGGGCGCAGTAGCTCATGTCTATAATCCCAGTACTTTGGGAGGCCGAGGTGAGAGGACTGCCTGAGCTCACAGGTTCAAGACCAGCCTGGGCAACTTGGTGAGACCTTGTCTCTACCATAAATCAAAAAATGAGCCAGGCATGGTGGCATGCACCTGTAGTTCTGGCTACTTGTCAGGCTGAGGTGGAAGGATCGCCTGAGCCCAGCAGGTGGACAGAGTGAGGCACAAACTCAAAAAAAATGCCACCTCGCCCTGCCCTGAGAAGCAGAGACCAGAGGGGTGGCCATTGAGCTAGAACAGGGTGTCTACTTCTGCTACTTCTTAGATAAAAGAAAGACACATTACCAGCAGAAGGCTGAGAATCCAGGGCAGATCATGTCTGATTATAGCTTGCTATTATGCTTGGGTAAAAAATAAAATGTCACTGAAAAACTCTCCAGACTGATGTATGTCTCCCAGTTTTCCATGTTTTGTCTCACTTTCACTTTAAAAAACTGGTTAATTATTTAATCTCCCCTCATTTCTAGCCAAAAAATAAAAAAATAAAAAATAAAGACCTGGACAGTATCTGACTCCCAGGGACACCAAGCAACCACTAGAGACTCCTGGGAATCTGCTACCGATAATCTCTGCCAAAATCCACATGATCTGGGCCACTGTGGAGGGAGGGGTCCTGGTGGTTACACTCTGTCCTGGTGGAGAGAGAAACAGGAAGAGATACAGAATCTGTTTCTCAGTGTCAAAAAGTATTTAAGGAGACCTGAGTCTCAGAGGTGGCAGGCCTGGCAAAGCATAGGGCTTTTCCTAGGGCTCAGAGCCACACCCTGAGGGCAGTCGTCAACTGTAAGACACTGTGCCTGCTCAACAAACATTACTCCTCTCAGCAGAAGAGATGAGCTTTGGCAGCAGACACACACAAGATCAAATCTGGGTCTCATTCCTTCCTAGCTGTAGGACCCTAGGGAAACTGTGTGATCATCTCTCTTAGTTCCTACACCTGCAAGATGGAAAGAAAACCTACCTCACAGGGCTGTTGGAAAGACGCAGTGGGTTCACCTTAGCAGAGCATCTTATATAGCATCCAATCCCCGGCAGGTCCCCATAAATGCAAGTGGCTTTCCAGGGCACTGTATCTTCTACTTCTTCCTCCCTCTAGACCCTTCCCTCTAGGCTACAGATGTGGCAAGTCTCCTAAATGTACAGTCCTTTCCATTAACTGCACTGGGAAATGGAAATGTTCAGGAACGCAGGAGGACAGATCAAAGTCTTTGGGGTAGAGGACAAGGGAATAAAAGGAACCAGGGCTTCTTAGAGAAATGGCGGATTCCAGGTCTGGGACCAGAATCACCCAAGATAAGCTTGGAATATCACACCACTCCAGAAAGCAAGGAAGTTATTAAAGACAACTGATTGCCAAATGAGTCAGTAGTCAACTCGAAAAGGCTCTCAATGGCCAAAGATGGGACAATTTGAGCATCAATAAAGATAATAAATAAAATTGCAGTCATGAAATCCACAAGTCCATAATGATACTGAAACAATGAAACAAACCTCATTAGTCACCTCTGGACTAGTGTTAATGTTAGGGGAACCATTCATAATTGTTTTAAACTGGCAAATAGACTGGACGATGTGGTGGCTCATGCCTGTAATCCCAGCACTTTGAGAGGCAGAGGTGGGAGGATCGCTAGAGCCCAGGAGGTTGAGGCTGCAGTGAGCAGAGATCATGCCACTGCACTTCAGCCTGAGCGACAGAGCAAGACCCTGCCTCTAAAAAAATCTCAAAAACCTGGCAAATAAAGGGAAAGAATTAATCCTGCCCAACTTTGGGGGTAATCAAAGAGTTACAGAAAAGTTTCTCTTTATTAAAGTATTTCAGCTGATAAAGAAGGAATGAAAGAATTATCATTACCATTAGCATTTCATTATAATTTATAACCTCTATTAAAATAAGGCTGTCAGCATCATGAAAAGAGAAACAAGCAGCTATCATGCACTCCTTTGAAGTGGTCTTGCTCCCCACCACCACTGAACCTAAACCTCATAAAGACTAGAATTTATTGTAGACTTAAAGGAAATACTGGGATCATAAGAATAGGTTAAGCTGGGCTTGGTGGCTCAGCCTGTAATCCCAGTACTTTGGGAGGCTGAGGCGAGTGGACTGTCTGAGCCCGTGGGTTCACAACCAGCCTGGGCAACTTGGCGAGACATTGTTTCTACAACAAAAAATCAAAAATTAGCTGGGTGTGGTAGCACATGCCTGTAGTTCCGGCTACTTGGAAGGCTGAGGTGGAAGGATCGCTGGAGCCCAGCAGATGGACACTGGGGTGGCCATGGGTATGCCACTGCTCTCCAGCCTGGGTGATGGAGTAAGACTCCAACTCAAAAAAAAAAAAAAAAAAAAGAATAGATTAAATGATACCACAATACTGATAAAATCATTAAAATTCCAACTACGGGCAAGTCTATAGGAAAAACAGCCTGATTTCGTCAACAAATAAATTAATTAAAGAAAACATTGCCAGAAAATATCGGTTAAGAGTTTCCAGTGGGCTGGGCTTGGTGGCTCAGCCTATAATCCAGCACTATGGGAGGCCGAGGTGAGAGGATTGCCTGAGCCCATGGGTTCACGACCAACCCAGGCAACTTGGCGAGACCTCATCTCTACAACAAAAAATCAAAAATTAGCCAGGTGTGGTAACATGCGCCTATAGTTCCAGCTACTTGGAAGGCTGAGGTGGAAGGATCGCAGGAACACAGCAGGTCGAGGCTGCGGTGGCAGGGAGCGTGCCGCTGCCCTTCAGCTTGGGTGACAGAGTGGGACTCCATGTCAAAAAAAAAAAAAAAAAAGAGTTTCCAGTGAATGCTAGTGGTGTGGTGATGAAGCTTTGATGAGGAACAAGATACCTGTAATCTGAGAATACCATTTCACACAATACTAACCAATCAGAACTTAACTTGGAGAATTTAATGTGAGGAACCTGACAGATACCAATCTGCCCAGGTGATGAAGGTTAACACCACCTGTGTCTCCTGATGTGCTAGAGTGACAAGCAAGGAATAATCTAGGTGGTGTTGCTGCTCAAATGCCTGGCCTGAGTCTGATCATGGGGAAACACCAAACAGGACCATCATACAGAACAAAACCCTGTCAAGAACTGTCAAGAGCATGAAAGACAAGAGAAGATCAAGGAATCGTTCCAAGTGAAGAATTCTAAAAATGGGACATAACAATTACATGTGACCTGGCTTCCTTGACAGGATCCCATCAAGAGAGGAAAAAAGAGCCACAGTGGGACAACCGGTAGAATTGAACCGGGAGGTGAAAGTTGTCAGAATCAAAATGGAGTCACTTGTGTTGAAAACCCTGACAGATGGAGCTGAAGAAGGCTATGAAGGGAGGGTTCTCATGCACAAATCCTTGATAACATGAACTATCACAAAGGACTCTGCAAAGCCACAACCTTGCACAAAGGTTATCGCAACCTTACACAGACTCTCCAGCAACTGCCTGTCTAACCTCAGACCGGCACCACCCTTGTTACGGATCCTTGTAGCCAAGAATAATGATCTCAAAACAATTATGTAATCCTCCACATTACTCCTTTAAAACCTTTTGTGTTCCTTCATCTCCCTGAATATGTGCATGGTTTATGATGGTATGCATGCTCTCATGGCAACACCCATCATTTTCTTTTAGAGTCTCTTTCTGCTACTTTGGGTGACAGGTATCTGTGGTTCAGAGGTTAGTGTTGCACCCATGATGGATAGAGGGTTGTATGCTGGTTATGTAGGAGCCTGTCCCTGCTTTGGAGATACGCACACTAGAGTGTTTTATGGTAATGAATTGTCATGACCGCAACTTGCTCTCCAAATGTTCAGAAAAAGACTAGAGAGTGGGCAACGACACAAATACAGTAAAATATTAGCAGGTGGGGACCCAGGGATAGGCATATAGGAGTTCTTTATACACACCTGGAGGCAATTTGACAAGGGCCTCGAGGTCCTGTTCTCTGGCCTGGTTGATGACCCTCTCTTTTTCCGCAATTGCACGTGCACGGGCCTGAATGATGTGTCTCTCCAACATTTCCACCTCATCCAGCCGCTGCTTATGGAGCTCCCGAATCTGGCAGGTGGGTAATCAAATGCAGAGAGATGTAGTGAGATCACATAGCTTGACTCAACCCCACCCAGCATCGGGGCTTCCAGTGAAGCCTAGAAGAACAGCTGGAGAACTACCATGACCATCTGATCCAAACTATCAGATGTAAAAACAGAGACCCATGGATGGAAATGCTTGAAGTTTCCATAGTAAAGTCAGTGATAGAGCCAAGTTTGGTACCCTCTTGGCTTCACAGCAAAGAGACCTGCCATTCAAACCATGAAATATCCAACACAAGTGAGCACACCACCTGTGGAACCACAATATCCCTGTTCAAGGAAGGATGCGCTCTCTAGCTATAGGGAGCATAGTCAACACAGCCCCCATGGAGTCTACCTCAGCAGCTGGAAGGGCTCACCTGAGACCTTGTCCTTTCTGCAGCACCCATATCTGGTGACTGAGAAAGGCAGGAGTATAAAGCTTGGCCATTTTGACCCAGAGAGAAACTGACAGGCAATAATCTCTCCAGAACAACCTGCATTTGCCAAGATTTGTTGGGCCCTATTACATTCAACTTCCTCCGTGGCTCACTCTTGATTTTTCTCCCTCCTTCACAGGTGTTGATCGCTATTAAACACCTTGCACACCAAACTCTGCCACAGCGTCTGTGCCCAGAGTCCAACCCAGATGCCCAACACACTCCTCAAGACTAATTACAGATTGGTTGACCAGTCAGACTTTTGACCCATACTCTCTTGTTCAGACAAGAAGCAGAGAGCTCACTGGTACAGGCAATGTGAGAGATCATTTGCATTAGCTAGGCGCAGTGGCTCATGCCTGCAATCCCAGCTACCTAGGAGGCTGAGGTGGGAGAATCTCTTGAGCCCAGGAGGTTGAGACCAGCCTGAGCAACATGGTAGGAAAAAAAAAAAGAAAGAAAATGATAATTTATGTAGGGAGACTATGTTCCTTATTGTATTCCTAGAGCTAGTAGGACCTGAAAGATGTTTCTTGAGTCATTCTTTTAATAAAAGATTTATTGTGCATCTACCATGTAAATCTGGGGAGAGAAATGAATCAGATACATATTCTGTCCTCAAGGAGTTTACATTTTAGCAGGAGGGGTCTGGCAAGGATACAAATAAGTGGAATAGAGCCTTAAAAGCAAATGAATGAGTATATAATGAAGGCTAAGAGAAGCTAGCCAATTCTTCCTGGGGTCAGGAAACACCTTTTCAGGGGACAGTGGCCTGGGACAGTTCCTTAAATATAAAGTATCATGCTTTGTGTCATGTGCCTTGTTATTTGGGTCTGTTGACAATCCCTGACCTTAATTCTTGGATGTAGGAGTTAGCAACTTATCCAAATAATAACAATAACAACAAATAATAATAATAACAAACAATAATGTTCTAAGTGCTTACCATGTTGTAAACACTCAATATTGTAAATATTCTACTGTATTGACTCATTTAATCCTCAAAAAAACCTTTGGGTAAATCAGGCAGAGAGCTCATGCCTGCAATCCCAGCACTTAGAAACACTGAGATTGGAGGAGCACTTGAGGCCAGGAGTTCAAGACTAGACTGGACAACACAGGGAGACGCCCATATCTACAAAATAGTTTTAAAAATTAGCAAGGCATGATGGTGCATGCCTGTAGTCCCAGCTACTTGGGAGGCTGAGGCAGGAGGATCACTTGAACCCAGGAGTTCGAGGTTGCAGTGAGCTACGATGCCACCATTGCACTTCAGCCTAGGCAACAGAGCAAGAAACCTCTAAAACAAACAAAAACAAAACAAAAAACAATGCGGTAGATATTATCATCCCCATTTAATAGATAAGCAAACAGCTATCTAGAAGTAAGCATTGCTGGGCACGGTGACTCACACCTGTAATACCAGCACTTTGAGAGGCAGAGGTGAGAGGATTGCCTGAGTCCACAGGTTCAAGACTGGCCTGGGCAAGTTGGTGAGACCTCGTCTCTACAATAAATAAATAAATAAATAATTTAGCTGGGCACAGGGGTGCATGCCTGTAGGTCCAGCTACTTGGAAGGCTGAGGTGGATGGATTACCTGAACCCAGTAGGTTGAGGTTGCAGTGGCCATGAGCGTGCCACTGCACTCCAGTTTGGGAGTAAAAAAAGTTAGCATTGTTCAAGGTCATACAGGTGGTATGCGGAGGAGACAGGATTTGAACCCAGGGTGTATGGTTCCAGAGAATTTGCTCTGAATCATTAGACCACACAATACCTCAATAGGAGGACCTGGGGAAGACCTGTAGCCAGTGAGGTTGTTTGGGGGAGAACTCAGTCAAGAGAGACACTCCACACTGGGTGGTGATTATCGCTTCTCCCAGGAAGAATGAATTCTAGTCCTTACAGTCAGATGGCAGTGTCATCCAGAGACACATGAGAAGAAAGCAAAGAAGGACAAACAGGACAAAAGGAAGAGAGAGAGAAATACAGGTATGAGAACAGCAGCACCACAGAGTGGAATAACAGATCTCTGCTCTTCTCAAAACTTTTCTGTAATTACAAAATTAATTCATGTACATTGTAAAAGTTCAGATGACACAAAAGTATGCAAAAAAAAAAAAAAAGTTAAATGCCCCCAAGAGCACTGTTAACATTTTGATATAAAACTTTCAACTTTTTTCCATGCATATTATAAAACATGAGATTATCCTAATATTGTTCTATGTTTGTTTGTTTTTGCTAAATTAATAAATGGCAGGCCACGGGTTATGTCTACAATATAGTATAATTCATTCTTTTTAGCAACTTCATAGTATTCCTTAGTGTGGATATACCATTTATAAAGTCAATTTATCTTTGCATAGTTGTATTTCTAGAGGATCACTCTTTAAATTTTTCTGCATTTTTACATTCTTGCAATGACCATGTATTACTTTTATCTTCAAAAACATTCAAACCTTTTTTCCTCAAAAAGAGGGATCACTGTTTGTTCAGTCCAGACCCCATTATAGAGGCTACTTGTGGAAGAGATATTAAGGAAGTAGGACTGGCTATGGAGTTTATAGGTTTATAATGGTCCACATATTCTGGTTTACGTGAATGACAGAGATATGAGTCAGAAGTTCAAGGACAGGGTCTAGCTTAGGTAGGCTGAAGTCTTAGCAGAGCGAATGTGATGGCCCAGGAATAATAGGGCAGAGGTTCCCATCCCAGGAATCTTGGCTGCACTTCAAGAAGCCTAGAACCCGTGGAGGGGGCGAGGCTGAACCCATTAGTGTCTCACATACTACAGAGAGATTCATCTTGTTAATATCTATCTACCACGGTTAGATTGTAAGCTACAGAGAACAGGTTGTGTGTGAGTGTGTGTGAGCTCATACACCAGTGTTTTATTCATTGCTGAATCCCCACTGCCCAGAACAGAGCATAGCACATAGTAGGCACTCAATAAATGAGTTAAATGAAAGGATGAATAAAACTGGGTAGGGGGTGGGATGTGTATCACTTAAAGGGTAGGTAGAGGACAGAATGGAGAAGAAAGAGGAAGATCTGAGAGGCAGGGGGCACACTTGGGTAAAAGGTTGGTGTGGGGGTGTGCCTCAAGTTTAAGGGAGTTGTCAGCCTTGTCGCCAGCGGAGTCAACCCAAGTCAGCTGGTTTTCTCCAAGCACAGATAAAGAAACAGAGTTGCTGTTCCAGAGACTGCACATGCTTCCTAAAATCTGGGCATGTGGCCGAGCTCGGTGGCTCAGCCTGTAATCCCAGCATTTTGGGAGGCTGAAGCGAGTGGATTGTCTGAGCCCATGGGTTTGAGACCAGACCGGGCAACTTGGCAAGACCTCGTCTCTACAATAAATCAAAAAGTAGCACACGCCTGTAGTTCCAGCTACTTGGAAGGCTGAAGTGGAAGGTTCGCTGGAGCCCAGCAGGTTGACGCTGGGGTGGCAGTGAGTGTGCCACTGCACTCTAGCCTGGGCGACAGAGACTCCAACTGGGAAAAAAAAAATCTGGGCATGCATTCCTCAGTCATGTGGTTTGTGATACAGAGGTACCCCATGCCGGCCGCGGTGGCTCACACCTGAAATCATGGCATTTTAGGAGGCAGAGAAGGGAAGATTGAGCCCAGGAGTTCGAGACCAAACTGGGCAACATAGTATGACCTCGTTTCTACAAAAAATAAAAATGTGGTGGAGCGCGCCCTTAGTTCCACCTCCTTAGGAGGCTGAGGCAGAGGGATCACCTGAACCCAAGAAGGCGAGGCTGCGGTGAGCTGTACTTGTGCCACTGCACTCTAGCCTGGACGACAGAGTCAGACTCCGACTCAAACAAACAAAAACCAAGGGATACAAGAAGTTGGTTTTTCCCTCCAAGGAACAACCACCGTTCAGCGTTCTGCCCCAGTGGTTTCATTGATATACGCAACATATAATGTGCATAAGTGCACAGAGAAATGTAGGTAGATGGGTATGTGTCTAGATGGAGTGTCCTTCCGCTGGAATGTCGGTTCCACTTGGCATGCACTCGATCTGCTCGTTCCCCGTCGAACCCCCAGTGCCTGGAACAGCGCCTGGCACCCTGCAGGGGCTGACACGCGTGGAGCGCAGCGTCCTGCAGGCGCGCCCCCGGGTCCCCCGCACTGTCCGCAGACGCGACGCCACCGCGCGGGGCGCCGAGGCCACGTTACCTGCCGCAGCTCGTCCACGAACGCCTCGTGGCGCTCATTCTCGCTGCCGCGGGCCTTAATCAGACTCGCGCTCACGTCCTCGCCGATCACCTCGGCCGAGTACAGGTTGCGGAAGACGCCGGTGAGCAAGTGCGAGATGTCCTGGGTGCGCAGCGAGGAGGGGCGCAGGCGAAGCAGCTGCGGCTCGGGCTGCGGCGCGAGCGCAAGCGGCGCCACGCGGCGAGGCCGGGCCGCGAAGCTGTAGCAGAAGCCCTCTGTGTGGGCGACGGAGGACTTCCAGGAGGACAGGCTGGGGCTGCTGGGTCGGGCTGGGCGCGAGGTTGGCGCCCACGTTGTCCCCTCGTACGCGATAGTCGCGGACGCCACGGACCTCGGCGCTGTGGAGTGCCCGGTCTCCATGGCAACTGAGACGCCGCTAACTCCTGGTCGCACCGCTGCTTCCGGCCACGCCCCTTCCGCCCGGTCTCCTTTGATCGCGTCATCAGTGCCGTCACCGAAACTACTCTCATCCTCAGCATTGGTCCTTTAAAGGTGTGGGGCCCCTATGGAGAAAGGGTTACTTGACACTGCCAGTCCAGTCTGATTGCAAAACCTTGTGCCTAACTACCTGTCTTCATCCATCCATTCTGCAATTTATTCAGCAGTCGTTCATTCATTTAATATCTGTTGTGTAAACCCAAAATCCTGAAGTCCCCATAGCCCCCCGACTGCACGGACCCCCCCCTTTCCCAGAGAAACCGGAAAAACTGAATTTCCGGCCATGAAGGGAAGGGAGGTTGGGCTCACCTTGTCATAACTCCCCCCTTTGGTGTTGAGAACAGCAACTGACCAGCATTAACATTAAACTAGAGATCATAAAACAGACTGTGTAGCAATAAGATACCAAATTCCAGCCTGATTCTGGCATATCATCACATGACAGATAGCAGACCCTGAAGGAAATCAAAATATTTTACCTTGAAAGATATTTCTTAGACATATTTTGACATGGCTCTGCAAAGCCACCTTTGGTGGGAAAAATTTGTATCGGTACAGAGTCTCCATTAACACAGCCAGGTCTTTCCCAGATCTAGGAGAGATTAACGAAGAGTCTGATACCTTTTAAGGTTGGAAAAGAGAGATTTGCCATCTATTTTCTCCAAAGACTGCTGCCTTTTTGAATCCACCTATGACCTGTAAGCCTCCTGTGCCCCCACACCATGAACCACGGTACACCTTCCATGTATTGATTTATGATTTTACCTACAATTCCTGTCTCCCTAAAACGTATAAAACCAAATCGTAACCCAACTGCCTTGGGCACACTTTCTCAGGACCTTTTGAGACTGTCCCCTGGGCCATGTTCACTCATATTGGTCAGAATAAACCTCTTTAAAATATTAGGCAGAGTTTTGTTTTGTTTTGTTTTTTTGGTCAGCAATTGTATAAAGATTGTGTTTCTGGTCTGTGCCAGGAGCTGAAGATATCAAAGGAAGTAAGATGCTGCTTTTGTCTTCAGGAAGTGCACAGGCGCGCGCGCGCGCGTGTGTGTATGTGTGTGTGTGTGTGTGTGTGTATGTGTGTGTGTTGAGTGTGGTGGGCTAGACAGACCAGAGTCATGGGGGAGAAAGTATTCACCAAGACAGTTATGAATTAAGAAAGATAGGTTTATTAAAGAGAAGATATATTGTGAAGAGCACGAGAGGCCAAAGAGCGGCAGAGTGCTGACTGTAAAGAAGCAGAAGCATTTCTTCCACAAATATATCGGATTCATTGTGGCCTGGGGGAATTGCCTGCAAAATGATTACCAGAGGTTTGTAAAGTGGTGGATTGATTGTAGGGTTTGTCTCTAACAGGAATCATCGACTGCTTTTTGTTTGTTGCCAAACCAGCAGCAAGTTAACTACTTTTGTTTTTCCTGCTGAACTAACAGCAAAATTCTTACAACTTGCCATCCAGCTTTTATCATTGTGGTCGTTATCTCATTCTGAGATTTCCTTCCGTAATATAATTTTACGTTTACTAGAGTGGGGTGGGAATGGGACAGTAAAACAACTGTAGTTAAATGGTTTAAAGCCAAGGTGGAGATAAATGTGGGTTGTCACAGAACCACAAAGGAGAACAGGAACTTAGTCTGCAGGGTGAGGGTGGCTTCTTAGAACACATGAAGATCGAGCAGAGATTCAAAAGAATGAGTAGACTCAACATCATTAGTCATCAAGGAAGAGGAAATCAAAACCACACTGCCAATACCACTCTGCACTTAGTAGAATGGCATAAAATGAATACATTCCTTGAATAAATAAAAGGATCAAACAAGTGCTAGTGAGGATGTGGATCAACTGGAATTCTCCTATATTGCAAATGGAAATACAAACTAGTACAGCAACTCTGGAAAACAGTTTGGCAGTTTCTTATAAATTACACATACAGCAAGCCACTCCTAGGCATTTCCCCAAATGAAATGAAATCAACGTGCACAGAAAACCTTGTACCAGATGTTTATGGCAGTTTTATTCATAATTGCTCAAAACTAGCTGGAAAAAACTCCAATGTCCCATCCACTGGTGAATGGTTAGATACATCATAGTACATCTATTTAGTGGAATACTACTCAGCAATAAAAAAGAAACAGGCTATTGATACACACAACAGCATAAATGAATCTCAAATGCACTATGCTAGGAAAAAGAAATCAGTCTCAAAGGGCTACATACATGCTGAATGATTCCATTTATTTATTTATCATTTATTTATTTATTTATTTGTTGAGTTGGAGTCTCACTCCGTCACCCAGACTGGAGTGCAGTGGCCGCTCCCAACCACCACAGCCTCGACCTACTGGGCTCCAGCGATCCTTCCGCCTCAGCCTTCCGAGTAGCCGGAATAACAGGCATGCACTACCACGCCCGGCTGATTTTTGGTTTATTGTAGAGATGAGGTCTTGCCAAGTTGCCCAGGCGGCTCTCGAACCCGCGGGCTCAGGCAATCCACTCACCTCAGCCTCCCAAAGTCTCGGGATTACAGGCTGAGCCACCGAGCCTGGCTATTTATTTATTTTTTGAGTTGGAGTCTTACTCCATCGCCCAGGCTGGAATGCAGTGGCACATTCAGGGCCACCCCAGCGTCAACCTGCTGGGCTCAGGCCATCCTTCTGCCTCAGTCTTCCAAGTAGCCAGAACTACAGGTGAGTGCTACCATGTCTGGCTAATTTTTTGATTTATTGTAGAGACAAGGTCTCACCAAGTTGCAGGTCTCAAACCTGCGGGCTCAGGCAATCCATTTGCCTCAGCCTCCCAAAGTGCTGGGAACACAGGCTGAGACACCAAGCCAGGCCAAATGATTCCATTTATAGAACACTCCAGAAGATGTAAAAAACAAAACAAAACAGATAAGTAGTTTCCAGGAGCTGAGGATGAGGGCTAGGTTTGGCTACAAAGAAGCATGAGGGAATTTAGGGGGTTGGTAGAACTTTTTTGTATCTCAATTGTGATGGTGGTTACAACTGCATGGATTTGTCAAACCTCATAGGACTGTACACTGTAAAAGGGTGAATTTTACAGTATATAAATTATATCTCAATTTTGTACAGATTAACAAAAGAATGAGTAGGAGTAAGCCAGAAGAGAAGGATAAAGGGCACGCATGTAGAGGGACCCAGGTGTGTCAAAGTTGGGTGACAACTTGCCATATGTGGGAGGGACCTAACGAAATTCAGGAGGAGGGAAACTTCAAAGAACGTGAGGGTGGAGAAAGGAACCCAATAAGTCAGGGCCAGATCATAAATGGGTTTGTAGGCCATATGAAGGAATTTGGACTTTATTCTGAGGGCAGTAGGAAGGCCATCGATCGCCTTAGGCTGGGGTATGTCATGGCCAGCTCTATGTTTTACTAAGGTCACTGGTTGCCTTGAGAATAGACAGGCAAGAGTCATTGGAGGCTGATTAGGAAACTAGTGCAGAGGTTACGAAAGAGATGAGGGAGCTTGAATGAGAGCGAGGGAAATGAATTGGAGATAGATCCAAAGATAGAATGGACAAGACTTGCTGGTGAATAATGGGAAGTGAGAAAGAGAGGCCAACAATGGCCCCCGAGTATCCCGTGTGTACAGTCAGGTGGGTGATTATAGCATCCAGTGAGATGGGGACGAGGACTGCAATTGTTCAGGGTGGTGGCTTAACATCATGTTGACAGTCTTCATTGACACACCATAGCTTCTGCTCACAGGTGATACAGAGAATCATTTTCTACTCTGGAATGTTTGCTTGCCTTACCTTACAGCCTGAAACTCACTTTGTGAGATGAGTTCCAGGATGCTGGTCCAGAGCCCTGGGCCACTTCCATTTCTTTTAGTTGCCTGCCTCCACCATCTGTTCTTTCCAGCACCTTTTCTGTCCTGAGAGCTGGGAGGCCAGGGCCCTGGATCATGAACTTGAGAGGGCCTTTCTCTGGCTCTCCTCCAGATGCCTTCCCCACAGAGTAAGGAGACCACAGGGCCAGGAAATGTGTGCTAGGCCTGCCCTCCAAGTACCTGGGACTCTAAAAGTATTTGCCCAAATATCCATCTCCACTCTAGGGCCCATGCAGGCCTCTTCTTTAAGTTCTTCCGCCCAGGGCTGACTGGTGTGTGCACTTAGGGGTGGGTAACTTTGGTGGGAGAGGGGGACTGGTGGGAGCTTGGGCAAATGTGCCTTTATTCAATTTTCCGCATACATTTGACAGCTCCCAATGGTGCAGGAAGAAGCTGGGGGTGGGAAGAACAGATGCAGGAACAACTGGGAGCCTCCAATGCTCTAATGTTAGGGGTGAGCCGGTTCAAACTGGGTGGTCTTGTTGGTTAGGGGCCATTCCACTGTGGAGGCTCCCTGGCCCACTTTCCTGACCTAGGAAAGGCCAGGACAATGGTTTCTTACCATTACTTTTGGCTTCTCCATCCTGCCTCCAGACAGCCTCAGAGAAAGTCTTGGGTACCTGACCCAACCTGGGAGAAGTCTCCCCAGTCTTTGCATAACCCTCCCACCCTCTGACTCCAGCCCTCTGACACTCCCTCATCTCTTTAACAACCTCGGCATTGGTTTCCTAACCAGCCTCCAATGCCTCTTGGCTCCCTGTCTATTTTTACAGCAACCAGTGACTTCAGTGAAACATAGACACACCCACCCTCTGACACTGTCCAGACCAAGATTGCCAGCAGCCCTCCTGTCCCTTCAGTGGCAATGACCATCCCTTGGCCGTCATCTTCCTCGACCTCTCAGCAGCATCTGTGGTTGCTGTCCATTCTCTCCGACTGACACACTCTCTTCATTTCTCTCCCCTTCCTTCTGTGCATCCCCGACCACCCACCATCATGACCCTCTTCTACCAGTGTCTCTTGGCCTAATAAACTGAATTCATCCCTGATTCCACTGTGCCCAGCATTCTATTCTGCTTGCGTT